GATGGCTAGAAATTTTAATTTTTATTCATAAAATCTACATAGTCCCGTAAGGTCATTTTCAAGGCAAAGACCCATATGTTAAAATAGTTACCTAAGTGATTTTTTTTTTAAGAAAAAAAATCTGGAAATTGGTCATTATGCTAGTTTTTTTATTATACTGTATGATTTATAATTAAATTATGATGGTTTTTTTTCAAATCTTAAATCAGTAAATTAGAGTTAGGTAAACATTTTTTCTAAGTGTTACTTGTTACTTGGTGTTCCATTACCCAAACCAATTTCGGGAACTAGCATACATGGTGACACCTCCGGTAAAAATAAAATAAAGGATTTTTATTTGAAAATAATAATTAAATGGGCTTTAATTTGCTTAAGCTGATTATTCGAAACTATAGTTACACAGGTGAATGGAAAACATTTAAAATGACCTATGTTCATTAATCATCTATATAATATTAATTCATCCTTTTTTTTTTTAAAAAAAACGACTAAATTTAGTGAAAATGGCTTCAGCTGGTAAAGTTAATAATTGACTAATATATCCACATTGAGCAATAATTTTTCATATTATTCTGGCCTAAACAGAGCAACTTCGGCCTGTGGTGGTTTCTGGACCATCTGGTAATATATTAAATCTGTATAATCCATTTAGCTCCTCGACTTGTGCACTTAACAATGGACTATTTTCATTGAATTAGGGTCTGGTAAATCCACGTTACTGAAACGTCTTTTTCAGGACTATCCGAATAGATTCGGATTTAGCGTGTCACGTGAGTTATTCTGAAAAAAAGCTTGTTATTTTTATCATTAAATAACATTATTTATACCCGCCAGATACCACACGCTCACCTCGTCCTAATGAAAATGATGGCGTACACTATCACTTTGTATCACGTGAACAGTTTGAAGAACTTATCAACCAAAATAAATTTATAGAATACACTGAATTCTCAAATAATTTATATGGAACAAGCATCGCCGCTGTACGTGCTGTTGCCGACGAAGGAAAATGTTGTATTCTGGACATAGAATTGCAGGTGATTGATTACACTATTCTCAAATAATTCGTTTCATTCGCTTACCAACTTTTATATCTGTATATGTTATTAGGGTGTCAAGTCTGTAAAAAAAACAGATCTTAACGCACGTTTTCTGTTTGTCGCACCACCATCACTTCAAGTTCTTGAAGAGCGTTTACGTAATCGTGGCACTGAATCTGAAGATGCAATACAAGCGCGTCTTAAAGCTGCAAAAGAAGAATTGGCTTACGCTGCAGAAGAGGGTTCTCATGATAAAATTATTGTAAATGATAATTTAGATGTAGCGTATGAACAGTTTCGAAAATTCATCGTTGACTGCAATTGAACATTTAACAATCAATAGAATTATTTATTGTTATCAGGAGATTCCTCAATACATAATGACTATTTCTACATAATACAACTGAAAAGTTTATAAAATATTTCTTTAATAACTTTTATTGGATACCCAGTTTATGTTCCATTGCTGTATGTACATCTACCATCTCGGTTGATAATTCTGGATCTATTATTTGAAATACGAGATGTTAAAAATATATATATATATAATACATATATATAAAAAATGAAAGCATACCGTTCAAGAAATCTTCAAAATCGATCGTTTCATCTTTGCCCATCAAAATATCCAATCCAAAATTAGATGACGGCATACCTGGTAAACGCTGCACCTAAACAAGTTAAAAAAAAGGTAAAGTCATTCAAGACGGATATGTAAAACCAATGATAAATATATATACATAGAAAAGTTGACATACCCTAGACACAATACTTCGTTCCATAAGATGTCTTATAGGTGCATGAATACCATAAATTCTTCTTTGCATCGTAAGTTTCAGATTGGTTTGTGTCTCTTCCCACTATTAAATGTTAGCAGCATTCAAAAGCTTGATCTAACTGTTTAACTACGAATTTAAAAAATATTAATAATTCAAACTTGTTTGAGTCTATTTTCGAGGGGATGAGCCGGTGAAATCTCGGTCTCTATAGATCTAGGCCCATAACGAAAAGTATCGTGAACACCATAAGAGTTTGCTGTATCTGCAACTGTTTTGGTAGAAGGAGGATTAGTTGAAGGAACTGCGCGGAGAGACTATTGCAAAAAAAAAAAAGTTAGCTCCTTCCTACTGCGAATGAAAAGCAAAAAAATGAAGCTTCATACCATTTTCGCTTTTTATTCCTATTTAATAACGATCGAATAAAGCTAAAGGACCATTACAAAAAAAACGAGAATAAGATAGTTGCCCGAATGGTATAACGGGCTTTTTTTTGATTGGTTAATTTTTTATTTCGTGACTTTGGTAATGCAAACCGATCAAACTTTAAATATTAGGTTGCGTAATGGAGTTGTTAGTCGTACAGATTTTTATTGATTAGAGATAAAATTTTGCGTCAAGTGACAGCTCACACTAGTGATGATTTTAGTCGGCTGGCTAGAAAATAAGTTAGTCACGCAACCAAGAATAATCGAAATTGACAATTTTACTAATAAACAGTAGCGGTAGCTTATGTACTGTACTAGTCCAAACGTTAATTTTGTTATAATATACTGTGTTGGCTAGCATTATAGCTTAATGCGGCCTAGTTCCAATGCTAAATTTTGGGTTATATAAAAAAAAATACTTATTACAGTATGTGATTAGTGAACTCTTAGCCGCTTAACATATCGATATCGATATACAGGCTTGAACATCAAATTATCTATTTTTATATAATGTATATTAATTTATTAATCTATTAGGTCAAGAATAACCTATTCAGACAAAACAGTTTCATCAATATTATTTTCTTCAATAGTATCTTCAATATTAAAATTTTTCATCGACACTGTATCTGGAGACAGGTCACCTTTAAGGTCATCAGGCAAAAACTGAGTTGTAACATGGATACTACGAAATATCTGTTCAACATTTTTATTTTTCTAGAAAGTTGATAATCAAAAGATTAAATAAAAAAAAAATTTTGCAAAAAAAAGAAAATTAGGCCATGCAAAATTACCGTATAGTCGCGAAATAACGCGCAGGGGCGTTATTTCGAATTTCGGCCCGAATTAAGCTTAATTTAGGCCGAAA